CCAATTAGGTCATCCCCAGTAGCCAGTACCAGGTCAAGCAGTGCATTGCCTCTTGTTGGCCCATAGACTTCTTGAGTCAGGTCATTTTGGTGACAGAGGATACCCATAGCATAAAAAAGATACCAGTCTTACATCATTTGATTCCCTTGGAATGATAAGCCTCAGGGAAGGTAAACATGTATATAGTATGTTAATTGTTTTAGGATCTTTTATCCCCTGAAAAACATTTATTTTAAGAAGACTGAGGTCAATCCAATATAACCACTGATTGGAGCTGCTGGAAAGAAGAGAATTGCAGGTGTGCTGAATGTAGGTCAGATAGGCTGAGGCAATTGTAATAGATACAGAGGAAACTTCAGCCTAGGAGGAAGTGTGAGAATGGGAGAATCGGATGATTCCACCCTGAAAAGTAATGTCTGAAGAATAGAGAACAGGGAAGAACTCAGAGAAATGCAGTTAGCTTGTGCTCTGAGAGCAGAAAAACACTGCCTTTTCTGGTACACAAGGATTAGCCATACATAGTCCTAATTAAGGAGCATACTAGTATTGGCGGTATTCAGAAATGTTTTGGGGAAACCAGAGGGGGGAAATGTGTCATTTTCAGAACTGCTGAAATCAAGTTAAAAACACTATGAAAGTGGATTAACTTCTGTACTTCATTGACATTGTCTCTTTGCACAAATACTGACAATATTGTCAGGTAAAAGAAAATAACATATTGTGCCTATTGTGATATCTCTTAATAGCAGTAGTTGTCAACATTTTTTGGACTTGAGCCACTCCTCAGAAAATGCCAGCTCTTAGCTTTCCCTCATTTCTTGACTACAGAAAAATAATAGAGCAATTTTTCTGTGCCAAAGATCTCAGAAAGACCACACTTGGGCAGAAGGTTTTTAATGCTGTGGATTCCTGTTTGAAATCTCTGGGTTTATCTTGTGAATCACATGTAGGTGTTTACAAACCTAACAGTACTAATATTGTTTAGCATCCTGCTGTACCCTTAAAAGGATCTCATGGCACCCTGGGGTGCAGATGTACCCTGGTTAAGAATTGCTGCTTTATTGGTTTCTCAGTTTTGAACTATTTTATAAGAACTAATATGCCACCCAAAGTACAGAACGTTACAGGTGGCTCCACTTCAGTTTTTTGCCGCATGAAGGAATTTTCAAGTCCACGTTCTCCGTTTTCAGACTTTAAGAAGAAAATAGTTAAAATGCCCTTCTTCGAGTCTTGTCCTAATAAAGATTTTGCACACAACTAACATAAACACAAATGTCTTAATGTGGTGTTAATGCTGTGTTACTGTGGTGTTTAATTGCTTTGTCACTCTTCCTTCAACCTTCACTCCAGACTATTGCTACTGTCATTTTTATGTTTACTGTTGCAGTTAATGTCAATCAGTGCTATGTCACTGTCTTCAATGAACTCAGGATCTGGTTGATCATCAGTTCCTACTGTCTTTTGACAGAGCTGTCTATAATCATGCCATTCATTTAATACCAGGACCAGTTCACCTGTCCAGATGAGTATGAGGATCCAGCAGTCCTGTACGAAGCAATCCAGGCTTTTGAGGAGAAGGTTGTAATTTGTCATGAGGGTGACCCTGCCTGGCGCAGTGCTGTACTTTCTAACAGAGAAGAGCTGCTTACCTTGAGACACGTTGTAGATGAAGGGACAGATGAATACAAAGTTATTATGCTCCACAAAAGTTACCTGAGCTTCAAAGTTATCAAGGTACCAAAGTTATCTTTCTATTATTGCAGCAGCTCCTGTGCTACCCCTGTTTAAAGTCTTCATCCAGTGAATCCTTGAGATCTGGCTATCATTTTCTAATAATTCAATGTAGTTAGGAGAGTGAGGTTGATAATAGCTAGGAGCCAGGACTCCTGGGTTCGATGCCTGATTTTACTTTGAGGTTAGAATCATTTTATGTCAATTCTCCACCCATCTGAAGCAATAATTTAGTCTTAAGAGAATAATGTTTGTTAAGGTCCTGAGATTCACAAATAATAATGCAAAGTAATTACTACTATTCTATTCAGGTAACATACTTATGTTAATACATTTTTAAATGTGAAACATTTTCAAATGGTTTCATATGTCTCTATCTAACCGTAGGTAAACAAGGAATGTGTCCGAGGGCTTTGGGCTGGGCAGCAACAGGAGCTGATATTTTTGCGCAATCGTAACCCAGAGCGAGGCAGCATCCAGAACAATAAACAGGTCCTGAGGAACTTGATTAATTCTTCATGTGATCAGCCACTGGGATATCCAATGTATGTTTCCCCTTTAACCACCTCATACCTGGGCACACACAGTCAGCTGAGGAATATTTGGGGTGGACCTATCAGTTTGGACAACATTAAAACATGGTTCAGATCCAAGTGGTTAAGGTAGGTGTTGAGACAATAATTGACCTCTATTATGATATGCAGGGCAGGGGGAGTCTGGAGGCACTCAGGCACACTTTATTTTCCGTGAAAAAAAGTGTTCACTGTTGTTTGAAAAAATACTAATTTTTGATAGCGCATCCAAAGCAAAAATAGAGAGAACAGCTCCAAAACTATCATGGAAAGCACTAATACAATTCAAATATAGCCTTCTGTCAGACAAGCACATTAGCTTCATTTTACTTAGCATTAGAGGCATTTCTGAGACATTCCTCAGGAAAGGCTGCCTTCTGTAAAGAAAAATAATTCAAACCTTTTACTCTTTTCAAATAACAATGTAGTCTTTCTGCATTGGAGAAATAATTAGAATTTGGACATAGGCATTAGCAGGTTCAGCTTCAAGTGCTTTGGAAGTTGGGTTCAGATGAGCATACCTAAGTCATGACCCTTATCCAAAAAATGTCTTAGGATTTTTTTTCTTTGAAAATCTGACATCAGCTACACTTTACACTGGATATACCCCAACAGTTTTCCTCTCTCTACCTCTGTATCTAGCATCTTAATGTGTACACTTCTTATGTGATAGACTTACCTTTTGTGTCTATAGAGGAGGGACCAGACCCTACTCTTTTGGACCCCATCACTGAAGTTTTGCTAGTGCTCTGGGATTTTCTCAGTATAGTAGTTTCTCAGAGTATATCCTATCCTTAGAGCCCCAGAGCAAGTGAGATTTTGGAGAGGAGAGTATACTCATCGGCCATCTTATATAGAAATTAGCCTTTGGAGATCAAACTGACATTAAATTAAATGCATTGAGGAGTTGTGGGATGCCCAGGCTGCTTACCAAACCTCAAGAAAGGTTTGGCTTAGATAATGTATGAAGTTGCACATTCTTTTCTTTTTTTCTTCTTTTGACCAAACTAACGTGTTCGCATCTACTGTAACCATGTTGTGATATAATTACCATCCTCAAAATGTCATGCAGCATTGAAAAGGTTAGGGAGAGTACCATTGTTCATTTGTACTGCGAGTTTGTCTGATATCCATCCTACGTATTCTAGTAAACACTAAACTCTTGATCATGTGTCTGTTCACACAAACAGAATGCGAAAGGACTGCCATGCCAGTCACAATAGTGGAGGTAACATTGAGGAGGTGGATAGTGGTGGCGGATCTTCATCTAGCAACCATTCAACAAGAAATTCAAGCCAGAGTAGTAGCTCGCAGAACACAAGGAATGAAACACCGCAATTGCAGCCTTCTCCACATGGTGCTTATCAGCATGCAGGTATTTGTACCTACATTTTTGCATTTATGAACCATGTATTGAGGCGTATCTGCATTGAACACACGGACTGGGATGTCTGGTCCTTTCTCACAGAATTTAGAACAACCATTGTCTAGAACTCTAGGTTCTGTGGTATCAAACTATACATATTGTGATTCAAAGAATTGTGCTTTTTGGTGATCCTGGCCTCAGAAAAGGATCATAGTTCTTGGCAGGGGCAGATCCAGAGGGGGCACAATGGCACAGCTGCATCCGCCCCTCTCAGATTGGTCTAAGCTGCTGGAGCCTCTGGGGCAGTAGAAAATCTCCAGAGCAGAAGAGAATCCCCTCTTCCGCTCATGCTCAGAGGTATGTTGCCTCCACTCCCTTTCCTGCACCCCCCCCACCTGCTGTGGCTTTTTTTATCCCCTGTCCCAGGGGCAGCTGAATCTTCAGAGCTGCTCCTGCCACTCCGGCTGAGCTGCACAGGGGCTGCCCTAGGTGAGCCCAACCACTACATAGCACAGTGGAGCAGGTAGGAGTGCCTCTAAAGCATTCCCTGCCCTTGGGACAGTGAGGAAAGCAGTAGTGACTGGAGGAAGGGACAAAAGAGGAGGGGATGGGGGGATGTTCCTCTTAGCATGGAGGGGAAGAGGGGAATGCTTACTTGCTTTGAGGACTTTGAAAAGTCCCCGGAGGCTCCTGCATTATGGCTTGCCTGTGCCAAAATGTTGGTGGGAAGCAGGATGGGAGCAGGGGTGCAGCCACCCCTTCAGTGCAGGTGGCTGTTCCCACACCCCCTTTTGCCAAATCCTGGCTCTGCCCCTGGTTCTTGGGCCACTAGATTCTTAAATATACAGTATGAGTATCCACCACTATTCACCTGCACTGATAAAGCGGAGGACAGCACAAACATCCAGTCCACTCTTTCCTTTCTTGTTGAGCATATACCAATTACATGTCCCAAAAAGATACACAGGGGACAGAGACCAAGGCAGCTGCTGAAACTCAATAAAGAGTTGGCAGACTCTGAAACTAAAACCAAAGTAACAAGTCTAGATTGGTTAGTCTGAAATTGGATGGATTGCATGAACCTTATGTGAGCAGTAGATAATGTCCATCCCAACCCACTGAAAGAACTGGCACATTCAATTGTGGTTTCAAAAGCAAAAATCCTAAATTACTCAAATTGGAGGGCTGGAGTACAGAAGACAAAAGAAGGAGAAAATAATGATCCAGACTACCAGAGGCCCAGGAGTCCAACCTCAATAGTTTACAAGGCTTTAGAAACATTTTTGAAGGAAGGAATAAGTGAAAACAGAGTTAAATTGAGGAAGGGATAAATTGCGTTACTAACAATAAGATCATTCCAAGCTAATCTAATATTTTGCTTTGAGAAGATGGATTTAGATCTATCAATTTTTTTCATCGTTTAGAAAGATCAGTTACGTGAACTCTGGTGAAGCATTTGATGCAATGTTAGTTAGGAAATGATCAGTTAAGCGGGAGAAAAAGGGATTAGGTATTGATCTTGGGATTGATTTTATTTAATATTTTCATTAGTAGTCCTGGCACAAAAAGTAGGAGTGTGATGATGAATTTTGTTGATGACAAATTTGGAAGTATTGTTAACACATAGGAGGTTCAGAATATTCAACAGAAAACTGGATGACCTTGAGTATTAGAAATACCTTGAGTATAAAATGCAAAAAGAAAAATAATAATCTAGATTTCCTCTGTAAACTGGAGGCAGATCATCTGGTAATTGTCATTTGGAAAGGACAGTGAAGAAAAAAGACTTGCTTATATTTAATTGATCACAAGATGGCTATGAAGTAGCACTATGATGGACATAAAGAAGGCATATGCAATAATAAGTGAGGTGTTTATTTCCAGCAGAGACGGGAAGTTATTAATGCCATAGTACTTATCACTGGTGAAACCTCATCTAGAACAGCATTTTTCGGTTACCCATATTTAAGAAAGATTAATTCAAACAGAAATAAATGCAGAGAATGGCTAGGGTGATCAGGGGAATAGGAAATGAATCTTACCAGAAGAAGCAAAAAGTGCTTGGCTTATTCACCCTAGCAAAACAAAGGGTGAGACAGAATATAAGTGTTCTCTCTAAACACATCAGAGAGATAAATACCAAGGCAAGAAAAGAGCCATTTAAGCTAAACAACAATATTGGTGCAAGGACAATCTGCCCATGAAGAGATGTTTCCCCAGCCTGATGAAGGCTGTTTGTACCTGAAAGCTTGCAAAAAAGATTTTTTCCAACTATTTGAGTTGGTCTAATAAAAGATGCTGGATTTACCCAAAGAACCTTGTCTGCCTGTCTCCTGAGACCAACATGGCTACAACCGATACTGATAAAACTGGCTATGAATAAATTTAGGCAAGAAATAAGGGGGTTTCTAGCTTTCTAAAGGGTTCTAGGGGGATTCTGGAACACTTTTCTAATAAAAAGCACAGTGGTCAAATAAGCTAATTTAAAGATGGATCCTGATAACTTTATGAAAGGTGCTATATGCTGTGCTTTTCTGCAGTAGTAGGGGATTGGATCAGAGAGCCAGGATGTCCCTTTCCATCCTGTTTTGCTGCATTCTTATCACAATGCTGCCGAGATGTTTGCTGAGTCATTCGACCTCATATGAAATTCAGTGTTCTGAGAAGTTTTAAAGTCATAAGTGATGATGCAGGCGAGGATGCCCCCTGTATCTGACGTCTACTCAGTGTAGCATGTTAGGGAGTGATTGGTAGGAAGTTGGATAGAGCTTATCATTGAAGCCTGTTCTACCATTTCTTCTGGCTAGTTACTACCTGGTTCTACAGCCATCTGGACAGCATAAAAGGCCTTAATGAGACAATTAAAAGAAATCAAATATCCCACTGGGAGATCCTAATTTGAGAAAAACAGAAGTGTCAACGTCTCGTAATTGCCAGGCATATTTAGGAAATGGCCTTCTGGCATGCTTCTCCAAAGGTTCCCCGGCGAGTGTTGTACACTTAAGCCTCCACTAACAAATGACTTGGCTTTCAGTCCCTGGACAAAGGGATGCGTTTAGCTGTGGTCAAAAGCCAAATGCAGATGGAAGGGGCTTGTTGAATTCAAAAGGGTGAATTCAACGAACCCCGTTATTTTGCATTGTCCGTGTGTTGGAAGCATCCATGCTATGTGTGTGCACCAAAATCTTAACCATATTTCTAAATGGCAGACACTGGGAAAAAAATCACTAAATGTCCTCATTATTTGAGCAAGAGGGTTTCCTTAAGGAAATAGAGGAAATAATAGAGGATAAAGCAGTGGAGGGGGGAAAAATCTTATTATATGAATAGGGCAGTCATCAGGACAAAAAACCCAGCATTTAGATTTTGCCAGTGATTCTCTTATGAAGTAATTCTTGCCTTCCCCATATATGTACAAAAACTTCCTAAGCTAAAACTTACTTTACATTATGGTAATCTACAGAATAGAATTAAAATTCTTCGCATTGGGAATCCTGATGTGACATTATTATTAGGAAACTGAAGATATAAAATTTATGACATCACTCTGGACTCGGGATTTGTTGACAGTGGGCAAATCTATACAAGATGCTTAATGTGCCATAGCCTAATAACACTGTGCAGTAGTGTGCTGGGCAAAAACTGTGCTAATATGCTACTAGGCAGTAATATTAGGCTACTGCACAGTAAGCATCACAAAAAACCCCAACATTCATCGGCACTACTGTACAGTAAATATAGGTACTGCACATTTAGTTAGTACTTCATTAATTAAGTGCTAAGCTAAATGTGTAGTAACTATGGCGCATTAATGAACATGTAGCCAGCTCTTTGTGAACTAATTGACTTTACATCATATTTATGGTATGCAGTGTAAATTAAGGCAGAGAACTAAAGGGAAATGGTACTTGTTTTCTTTCTTGCTCAGTCTTTTTGACCTGACATTAAAGGTCTTGCCAGGTATATAAATCATGTTGTGGTATAAAAATAACTGCTGCTTTTAATTGAGTACAGTGTGAGAGTTTTCCCCACACGCTCTCATAGTTTGACAGCGTAGCAATCAGAAAGGCAAGCTTAATTGTAAAATAATGATCTTGAGCGGCCCATATGATAATGAATGCTAATTGGGAACCATTTAAGAACATTTCACTAGGTGCCATGTAGCCACAATGGAAAGAGAAGGCCATACCAGTTCCAAAAGAAAACAACTAGACTTAGAAGTGAAGTAAATTTTATATATATACATTTTACATTTATGTATATAAATAATTTAAAAGGGGAAATTTATAGTAATAAATATAAAATTAGAAGCTAGGGCTTGCATTAAATTGGCAAAGGAACAAAAGGACACACGTGGAAAATTCTGGCTAGCAGAATTTAAAACAATAAGAAAAAATTGTAAGACTATGAGAAACAAAAGAAGTCCTCATGCTGTTTTCTGTCCACTATGAGATGGAAATGACAGAACTGCCAGTAATAATGCAAAAAATGCAAAGATTTGCAGAAATCAATATTTCTGTTTGGCATTTGGAGAAAAAGCCAAATGAAATTGTCACATCAATTGTTTTTACAGTAGTTGTTTTTTAAAACAGCTATCCCAAAGATCCCTCTGAGCTATTAATAAGGATTTCCTTTAAGTTTTGGAATATTGTGGAAAAACCAAAGGACTAGACTTAAAAATATTTTAAAGCAGCAAGTGGAATGACTGGGAAAATAGGCCTGTCAACCTGACCTCAGTCCTGGATGCTACTGCAATCCTGTGTCAAATTCTGGTATGTACACTGCCAGGAACAATGATGATAATTTGGAAAGGCAGCAGAGAAGTTCCATGAGAATGATGAAAGGCCTGGTTTTTAGTGAAAAACTCAAGGAGGTTAATCTTATTTTATCAAAGAGGAGACTAAGGAAAGCCTTGGAAGCAGTCTATAAGTGCCTCTGGGGGAACTGCAATATGGTAATAAGTAGGGTTGTGTGAAGCAGGTCCTATTCAGATTCGGCCCAAATCAGGGACAGTGATTCGATTTGTTGATTCAGATCACTGTCTCCAATTCAATTTCGCCGAATCCGAATCTGAAGATTCAATGCTGATTTGGAGAATCAGTGATTCGGCCATAGACACAGCTTTAAAAGTTTTTTCTACATACCTTGAGGTAGAGGTGCAGCTCGTGAATGCTGCAATGCGGGGGGGATGGAGCATCACACAGGAGTGCAGGGGGGCCCCCGACATGCTCAGTGGTGAACCAGGAGTGGACCACAAGTACTTCCAGTCCAGTTCCGGGTCTGCCAGGGAGTGCACTGGGGGGCCCCCCTCATGCTTCCCTGGCTCAGCGATTGGCCACAGGGGGACCCCAGGTGCCCCCCCCACACCCAGGAAGCACCAGTTACTGAGCTGGGGGGTGCAAGTGCCCCCCCAGAGTGCTCCCCAGTGGACCCAGAAGTGTAGTGGAAGTGCTTCTGGTCTACTTCCGGGTCTGCTGCTGAGTGCACTGGGGAGCCCTCCGCACTTCTGAGAGACACCCCATACGCCCCAGCATCGCAGCACTCACAAGCCCCTGCTACCTAGAGGTATGTAGAAAAAATGTATAAAGCTGTCTCTGTCTGAATCTCCGAATCTCTCTGAATCAATTCAGACGGTTCCGATTCGATTTGGAGGGATTAAAAGGTCCTCTGATACGATTGGATTCAGAGATTCAGCTACCGAATCAGGCTGAATCTCCGACCATATCAAATCAGGGACCGAAGTTTCACACAGCTCTAGTAGTAAGTAAATGGTTCCTCTATCTAGCAGACAAGGAGATAATGAAGCTAGACAAATTCAGAAAGTAAATTAGGTGCACATTTTAAACAGTGAGGGTAATTAACCATTGGAAAAATTTACTAAGGGTTGATGTTGATTCTGGAACATTTTTAATAAAGACTGGATGTTTTTCTAAGAATAATAATTTGGGAAAGTCCCGTGGCCTGTCACACAAGAGGTCAGAATAGATAATCACAGTGATCTGTTCTAGCCAGATAATCTACAAATCAAGTGACTTTAGTGCTTTTTAATTGAATATGACATTTTGCTGGCTGGTGCCATTGTCTGAAAATAATTAAATAATATATATACAATTAAAATAATATATATACACATAAAGTGAGGAAAATGAGAATTAAAACTGTGTTGGGTATACCAAGAGGTATACTAATTGTATGATACAGTACATAGAACGGTCTTTGTTTTTTAAGCATTTTCAGAGACTGAGTTATTTATGTGTAGATATGGGTGGTCTACTATACAGTGCTGTAACCACTGAATTTGGAATGAATATATTATATTTTTGGACAGTGGTTAGCTTCACTGTTTAAGTCATGAACAGATGTTTGGCCACTGTAGATTTTGAACAAACTAACACGTCCACAGCCTCTTTGTGCTTAATTCCTATCTGTCCTTTGTATTTTTAAAAAAAGTAACACCTTAAAATAATCATTAGACATAGAAACCAAACTGTGTAACCAAAACACCCCTCCCTCCCCGCCCCTCCCCGAGAGTTTGAACAACATCAATCTTTGGGAAAGTCAGAACCACATCTGGATATTAACTTTGCAGCTTTGACCTGTCTAATTACAGTTTACACCACTCCCAACATCCCATCTAGAGTGCATGGAATCTAAGAGCATGTTTTCAAACCTGTGGACAGGGTTAGCTACCTTAGTCATGTTGATTTTTAAAAGGAGTCATGGGCTTGTACTAAAAGGCTACTGCTGGATTTTTTAAAATTTAATCTTTGTTGTTCAGAATATGACAATAGAAAGAATGAGATATTGTAAATGATGTTCTTTTCTTGTCAGGCCATCAAATGTTATCCCAACTAAGTGGCTTCAATCATTTTATTGGCCAGGTCTGCCACATAAGTCTGACCTCAGTTATCTAACTTCTCTGTACCTGCAAAATGAAGCTAATAATATTTCTCTGAGAAGCACTTTGAGGTCTGTGTATATAAAGCACTCATTAAGTACTGACTAATAGAGGGATCCTTGAAACAGGATTATTATGCTACATTAATTGAAGTAACTAATAAATGCAGCATAGACAATCACATTTCTAGAAACTTGTTTGGCTGAGAAATGTCAGTATCTGGAGGAATTTTCTTTTTCAAAGATTCCTGCAGCTGTCTTATAACCCCCTCTTCCTATTTCATGTATCACAAAAAAAACCCAAAATACAAAAACCCAACAGGCTCAGAATCCTTGAAAAGCAAAACTGGCTCCAGCATTGTAAAGTTTTAAAAATACTGAGATTTTTTTTTAAAACCTGCAGTTATGGCTATAACACAAAGCTTCCACCATGTGTTAGTATTTTGGGTTTCCTGGATAATGGAAAGCCAATTAAGCATTCACATGAACACACATTTGCTGTGAGGCAGGTATAAAATCATATAGAGGAGCAACAAGGGGGGTCTTTTGTGTGTGCCAGCCTGTTGTTCATTACCCAGAGAGTGCATTGTATCCATAAGCAGGTATTTAGCATATTCAGTAGCTTCTGACTGGACTTTTTTGTTAATTATTCTGTGTATATTCAGACATTCCAGAATACGAATTACAGAGATTGGCTTATGTGCTGACATGTGAGATTTACTATCCCATCTACATTCTTTTTGTCATTAATTATGATAACTCCAGATGCTCTGGATACCCTGGTAAAAATCCAGTCCAATATTAAACCCTGTTAAGATCTTGGCCTCAATAGCTTTCCTGCAGCATACACTTTCTGTTCTCTGATACTGATGTGGAAGAATCCTCACATTCCTAGTCCTAAAGGGCAGGAGTAATTTGATTTAATTTGATTTTGTTTAAAAACTGTACTTTTTGCAAACAAACTGTATAAAGCTGTAGAAACAGGATGTTTCAATGGGGTTGGTATTGACTTAAGTTATAGGCTCAGAAAAATAGAGTTGGAAGGCACCTACTCAGCCACCCTGCTCAGGGTAGGATCTTCAAGTGTTTGTCTAACTTGCTTAAGTACATTTCCAAGAACAGGGATCCCTCACCCCCTCAAGGTAATTTGTTCCAGTACTTAAGCATCCTCATCATGAGAAACTCTTCCTAATATTCAAACTGAATTTCCCTCATTGTAGTTTTAAACCATGTCTTCTTGTCCCATCCCCTGTAGCCACAAAGAATAATAATGTGACATCATCCTCTTTATACCCACCCTTCATGAATTTGAAGACTATTATCAAATCCCCCATCAGCCTTCTTTTATCCAAAATAAATGGTCCCATTTTTTTTCAACCCTCCCTCATAAGTCATGTTTCCCAACCCTCTGATCATTTTTGATGCTCTCCAGTGGACTCTTCCCAGTTTCTCTACAACTTTCTTGGGATGCAGGCCTCCATGTGTGTTCCTAGTGCAAAGAAAGCCAACAGTATACTGGGTTGTATTGAGAGAAGTGTCACCTGCAAATCCCAGGAGTGGAAAAACCACTCCTCTTAATACAACCTGGTATGCTGTTGATTTTCTTTGCAACAAGAACACATGGTTGACTCATATTCAGCTTGAGGTCCACCATAACCCCCAGGTCCTTTTCTACAGTAGTGCAGCCTAATCAGTATTTGTGTGTGTGATTGTTCTGTCCTTGTGCAGAACTTTGTACTTGTCTTTACTGAATTTCATCCAATTCATTTCAAACTGTTTCGCCAATGTGTGGAGGACATGCCAAATCCTAAGCCTATCCTTCAGAGTGTCTGTAGCTCCACCAGCTTGGTGCCATCTGCAAACTGGTTAACTGTACTTCCTCTAACTCCACATCATTAATGTTGTGACAAATACTATCATCAAAGTCAGGGTTGACTTCAAGTTGATATGAAGTAGTCAATAGAATAATGGTTCCTGGATGTTGTTCTTATTTCTCCTACTGATTTCTGCATAACTTTAAATAAGATCCCTGATTTCTCCAGTTACTCCTCTGTTGAATTTTTTTAATAATTATGTTATTTACCTACCTCACCTAAGGTCAGATTCTGTCTTGATCCAAACACAAGAGAAGTTTGGGAGCAGTCCATAATGGAAACAGGATGGACTAGATGTTATAAGAGGTTTCATCAGTCTCTAATTTCTGTGGTTCTCCAAATGTTTGCAAAAAATCCTTCAGATCCTCAGCATAAAACTACACGTGCTATAAAGAATGATCTATCTGTGGTACAGCCTGCTCACTAGACAGAGGCAGTAGTGCGTATTTTGATGGGACAATGTTGAAGAGATTTAAAACGGGGTGTAATATTTTTGTTTTAAAGGCAGAAGAAAACCCAGGAGTCAGTCTGCTCAGATGCATGCTGCCTTAACCCAGCGACCGCCTGTTTCAAGTCATTCTGAACCAATTGTAGAAAGCTGCCAGCCTTTTATTCGAGCTTCCACATCTGCACATGAAATTGCTCAAAGGCTTTCTGGCAGTCAGCTCTCCTTCCACAATTCTATGACATCTGTATTTTCTCAACCCCCTGCCATTCCTGCCGCTGGCCAGCTGGCTGTTCAGGATCAAGCTGGAGCAATGTTCAGGTCTGGTCTGACCTCCTCAACCAGCTCTACGCTCAGCCTTCTGTTCGGCAAAAGAAGTTTTTCAAGTGCTTTGGTCATTTCTGGGCTCTCAGCTGCAGATGGAGGTAACACCAGTGATACCCAGTCATCCAGCAGTGTCAATATTGCCATGGGTCCATCTGCTAGAGCAGCAAGTCAAGCAACACGGGTAAGGCACACAAAGCATGAGCTACTCTCTTATAGTCAGGTTCTTATATTGCCTTCCTTCCCATGGGGTCTGAGCACCTTGTAGTAGTAGTGCATTTTAAGGAGTGGTGGCTAAAATCCGTCTGGCATGGCTTGTTTTTTCTGTCCTGTCTAGCTGGGAAGAAAACTAGTTTTGTTTTGTAAAGTAATGGCAAGGTTTTGAGGGTTTTTTTCTGTTCTCTACCAAGTTGAGCCATGAACTTTCAAAATAGGTGAGAAAACCCCACCCATTAATAGCTAATAAGCCAGTTGTTGGGGAATTCATCTGGCATATGGAGCCTCAAGTTCAGGCCCACGCTCTGCTTGATTCAGACCAGGGACTTGAATCTCAGTCTCCTGCATCCCAGGTAACTATCTTAACCACCAAGCTAAAAAGTCGCTCTCTCCCTCCCTGCCCCACTCTCTCTCCTCCATCCAACAAATTCATAGATTCATAGATGTTAGGGTCAGAAGGGACCTCTATAGATCATCGAGTCCGACCCCCTGCATAGACCTGTCCCATGTGCCACGAGTGCTCAAATAGTCTTGCCAGTGGCTGTGCAATGACATCAGCCAGTGCCTTCAGTACCCTCAGATGGAGCTCATTCGGGCCTGCCATCTTAAACACATCCAGTCCTTCCAAGTGACTCTGCAACATCTCACGGTCAATGCTTGGTAATCTGGTGCCCAGCTGTTGCCTCTCTACCATGTGAGACTTGTCTTGCCCCTTGTTTAGGAAGACTGAGGCAAAGAGCTCATTGAGGAGTTCAGCTTTGTTCCCCCTTTCTGTCACCAATTGCTTTTGCCCATTCAGTTGTGATCCTATTCCACCCTGGGCCTTCCTTTTACTCCCTATATATCTGAAAAATAATTTTTTGTTATCCTTAACTTGGGATGCCATCCTCAGCTCCATGGCAGCTTTGGCCTTTCTAACTGCCTTCCTACAACTGCAAGCTGAGGAGGTATACTCCTCTTTAGTAATCTCTCCCTGTTTCCACTGCTTATATGCCCCCCTTTTTGTCCTTAGGCTGCTCTGGATTTCTCTGGTCAGCCAAGGAAGCCTCTTGGCCCTTTTCCCCCTTTTCCCCTGCATCGGGATCATCTCCCTCTGTGCCCAAAGGATCATTTCCTTAAGGCACAGCCACCCTTCTTGGGCTCCCATCTCACCAAATCTCTTACTCTGCAGTGCGTCATTGACTAAACGCCTGAGTTTGCTGAAGTCAGCCTTCCTAAAGTCTAGCACTTCCACCCTACTAGTTACTTTACCCACCCTACACCTTATGATGAATTCTATTATTTGGTGGTCACTGTCCCCCAGGTGACCACTGATCTGTAGGTCCGCTATCATGTCATCCCCTGTTGCCAATACCAGGTCCAATGTTTAATTACAGCACAGCCTCGTTAAAACAAAACCTTATGGGACTGTAAGAAAAGGTCATTAAAATAAGGTGTTCACTTTAACAGGGTTTGGATGATTTGCTGCTGAGAAACCTTGATGAAAATCTAGTATGAAAATGTTTGGGGTCTGACACTTCATCATGTTCTGACAGAAAAACTTTTCACTGAAAAATTTGCAACAAGTTCCCGTCCATGCTCTTCCCTGAGGAAAATCTGTGTGCATGCAGTTTGGTGTGGTGTTTTGCTGGCTACCCGACTGTCATTTAATTTTTAGTTTTAGTTAGTCACCATTCTGTATCCCATTGTCTCCACTACAGCACTCAGGGGCAATGAAATGAAATGATAAAATCATTAGCCATGAAGCAGTTTGGCAATTCCAGTAAGAGACAAAGTGCGAGAGAGCATAATTACTCTCTGGTTCATTTGACACTAACAAATGGAATCAAGTAAGTTTATAGTGCTGTCATTATGACAAAATTATTTTCTCTGACACACAGCATAGGATCATGTTACTACATGACACTCCTTGTTCAAGCTTCAGATGGCAGAGCCCCCTTGACATATGTACTTCATCCCAAACACATGTAAGGCTCAGTCTTACTCCCAGTGAATGCAAGGAACTTTGCCATAAACTCCAAGAGAAACTAGACTGCACATTACTTTTTATGGTCTAATCTTCCATCATTATTCATGCAAGTAACATGCATTACTCTTCATTACTTCTGCAACACCAATAAACATGCTTGTCGCTACCCAAACAGATGGTAAGATGCATCTCCTACCCCAAAGAGGTTGCCATCTGAATCCTGCAAGATGTGGATGTCACCTTTCCATTTTGGTCAGTTGTGCTGAGCACTTTCCGTAGTCATAAAGTAAACTCTGGAGGTCCATGTGACTACTTGCTTGAATGTAGTAAAATCTGTACTTAAATCAGCTGCAATAGCATGATAGTCTTCTGGCAAAGCTGGAACAGCATCAGACTCACTACATTTCAGGATAAAACAGTCTTCTGTTGTTCATGGTTCATTGCAAGTGAAATTTAAAACAATCCTATACAGCATAGTACATACTTGCCTCTTATCTCGTGCTTTATGCCATTATCATATGAAGGGGGACACATATGAAAGTCATCTCTGGTTTCCTTTCTAGCACTTGAAATGCCCACTGTAAATAATGAATGTTAAGAGCCTTGCTCAAGCTGTACCTTGTTTCAAAATGTCATTCTGAAAAAAAACCCTATTAAGCTATTTCCTAAAACTCTTTTATACTTTTCTAAGCAATTCTCTGAGACGTGTGAAGCAATGGATACTACTGAATCGAGACCCCGGAGAGAGCTAGGCCCTGCCCATGCCATTTTCATGGCTCAGAACCTGGAATGCAGGAGGGCTAGCCAGGAGGATATGGCCCTGGAGGACACAGCCTCTCAGCACAGCTTGTCAGAAGAGCAATAAAGAAAACTCCTACTTAAAGGACCATGCATTCCTTAAAATTCAAATAGACATGGCTAGGTCAGTCAGCTGCAGATGGTTTTATTTTTCAGATATAACAACAAACCTCAAAACATTTATTTTTCTAACTTCTGAGAGAGAATACCATTGGGGCAGAGGTTCTTCAGTAAAAAGTCTTGGCAGGTGGGGATGGAAGGACCTTCAAAGAGTTTCAGGATGTCCTAAAATGCAGTGCCACTTCATCTCAGGTTCTTGTAATTATTAGAACAACCAATAAAATCTGACTGCCATTCCTTCCCCTGCAGAGGTGCTGACACTTCTGGTGGAATTTTATAAGTGGTCAGAAAGAATAATGTTTGGAGTTGGGAGTGAACACAACTGAAAATCTTAATGCAACTCGGTGAAAATCCCATAGACATCTGTTTCCTGCCATAACTAAAAAGATGACTGCATGTTAAATAATTGACATTTTATACATAATGTATCACAAAGACAAATTTTGAATAGGAGTAATGAATATGTAATAGAACTGTACAGTGACTGTAATATTAGAGCTGTATCTAAGAATTTTTAATAGCAAACCTATTTTTTTCTTTTCTTTCATGTGTTACACAGGTAGTAATTATGTGTAGCAACATATTAATACAGTGTGCATGCAGCCATATTGAAATAATGTATGAATGAGCCAGACTGCACATTGCTATAAGGCAGGTTTTGAAAAAAAAAAATATAGCCAGTGCATGGAAAGCCTTCACAAAGCATATATGGTGCTCCTTATTTGAAAACAAAGCAGTTTTACTTAAAAGGCTGCTCTTACATATAATTACGCACTCCTGTTGCATTTACAGGAATGCATGCCTATTTCTGAAGCCTATAGCAGGTCCTTAATGTACTGTAGAACATAACACACATGCTCCTCATTTTTTTTGTAATTAAAAAATTTCCAGCTATCAGTGTCCAGTGTTTCTTATTATTGTACCTACAGTGGAGTCTTTCTAATTCTTATCACGGGAATCCGCAGCCAGGTGCCTTCTCCCACTTGGCGTAAATGCAAGATGGAATAGGCAGTTCTGTAGCAAAGTTTTGTTACCTTTCGCTATATAGTGTTGCTATCAGATCTTCATACTGTGTCCATCACCGTGACATATATATTTAATGCTATGGACATTAAAACTCAGTAACACCAGTAACAATAAACAAGCCTAGGCCATTTTGTGAGAAAGTAATTCTTATTTTCTTTTAATCGTGTTTATATGATTTGTACCAGATTTGCAAACTTTGGAAATCCACATTTTGTCTTCCATCTTATTAATGAATTACTTAGGTTCTAACACGCTGTATGTTATAGCAAAACCCATGCTCTTCTGCACTATGGTCATGCTGGCTTCATGATGAACCTCTCAGACATACTGCTACCACATGGCCAGCCTAAGTAAAAGTGACAGCAGCACATGTAATGCACCTACACCACAGATGAGCTCAAGATCCTAACAGGACACGCTTCAAGTCATATTCCCAGTAAGAGACCACATCCTTTTGTGGACATACATCGTACCAAGTAAGTGCTTATTATGATGCTGATCTGCTGCTTCGCAGGTTGCCACACAGATTGCTTCTTACTCCCCACCACTCCAAAAGCACAGATGACTCAAGCCAAACTAAGTTAGACGTAGTTCTGTAAGTTTTAGTTGCTTGGAAGATTTTTTTTAAGTAACTATAAAAATGGAGCTATTCCAAACAGTTCATTTCCTTTTAGCATCTGCACCTGTGCTACTGATTTTTCCTTCTGATTTTTAAAAATGATTTTTATTGGAATAATTTGAATAAAAGAGGAGTGTTGCATCTTCACAATGCTAACAATTAGCAATTAAAAAGTGGAAAAGAAAACAAAGTGTTACAGATATTCTGTAAAACAACAAGCTATAAGTTTGAGGGAAACTTTGAGGAATGGTGTGAAATCTTTGATATGTTTAAAGATAGAAATACTATCTACATAGCATTAAAAATCTGTTGGGACTCAGAGACCATGCATAAGCTTGTATTGAACACAAGGTTAGTTTGCTGGGGTGTATTTTTTACCTGGAAGTGAGAAGACTGAAAAAAATGACATTAAAACTAAGGCCAAGATCCATAGAAGGGCTTAGGTGCCTAAAATGCGCTTTATGTGAGATTTGGGCATCTAAGGTTAAGGCTACACAAGTTACCATGAGAAAGGTATAGATATGAATTTACAGTATGACCACTGCTCCACAGTAACTGTCATATGTACAGGGTGAGGATGGATATGAATCCAGGACTTTCACTACTTAGGCAGGTCCTAGCTGTGTAGCTTAGGCTAGGGCAGTGCTGGGCAAGGATGGAAGCAGAAATTTAGACAACTAGGGAACTTTCAGGTCAGACAGGGAGGTGGCTGAATTGGCTAGGCAGGTGATGGGTGTCTAGATGGACTTCAGATGGCTAAGTCTTGTTGCAGGTGCCTAAACCCTTCATTGGCTCTGAACTGGTTTGTGGATCTGGACCTAAGTGGTTCAGGTTGAACAGTTTGTAGATCTTATGTGCTTGGTCTATACAATGACGGGGGTAGTTGGAGAATGGCTGTGACTAACACTATCAAATGGCATGATCTTAACATGTTTATATCTTGGACATATCTGTGACACGAAGTTTTCCAAAACAACAATCATAGGAAGCCACTCAGTCCATTCTGTAGCAAGGAGCCTGCTTACTGCTCCCACTACTTGTTTGCCAAGTCTCAGAATATGGTCAATGTGTGGAAGTTAGCACTGCTGTGAAGCAGATAGTGAACCAGCTGCCAGATAGATCATGTATTTCTGCTTTACAGCAGTGAACACTGCAGCCTCCTAGGAGAGTGCATTAACTATTTGAGAACAACCATCTTAGAATTTTTAAAAAAGAGTCCATGTATGTGCTCCTTTTCAGACAATCACTGGAGTGATGAGGGAATGAAGGCAGATTTCCATTCACTGATCCCTCTTGGGAGAGCCTTAACCCCAGACACCATCAGGGCAGGTGAAGGTGCAGAGTGTAAAATCTACCCTGGAATGGTGGGGGTTTACTTTAATCAGAGCAGGAGAAAACCAATCGAGAATCCTTGTAATGCACCAGGACTGGACAAGGCAACAAGGAGTGGGAGCAGAGTAGGAAGGGGACTATGTGGAAAAGCAAGCGTCAATGCTGCAGAACTAGCCTTCAGATTAACCGTGATTTTCTTTCCCTTGGTTTACCTCCCCATTATAGTCTTTCACTAGTTTGCTCTTGCTTACACCATACTGTAAAGATCATATGCTCAGTTCATTTGCACTGATGAAGATAATGTTAGAAGCTGCCCAAAGGATCAAAGCAATTAACTTCACTAACATTACTGAGTCTAGCCAAGGGCTGCTAAATCAGTTGTGTCTGCACCAGCACCTGGTTACCACCTGGCAGTCCCTCAACTTGGCTTATTGCCTAGCTGTTTCCTACTGCAGTCAGTAAGAAACAGTGACAATAACACTTGCACAAACTTTGTCAAGTGACCTTTGTATTTCTGTTCAACCAAGAGTACAAATCCAGAGGTCTGACTGGCAGCTCTTACATATTACGTAAGTGAAGACCTACAGAAGCCTACTGGCGAGACCTAGGACTTTTCTGTGAAGGCACAGAAGGATTCAGTATCATCTTGATCAACAGTACTTATAACTCAGTACTATTTCCCTTCTCCAGGTTAAAACTGTTGAGAATTCCCTGAAATCATCAAGCTTTGGGGAGCTTTCTGGGTGCCAGTCACAGTTCATTTTCTTAGGCTAGTAAGGCAGAGCAATGTTTCTCAACCTTTGCAGTCACAGCACCCCCCAACCACTTTTCTGAATGTGGCGGCATCCCCAGTTGAGACCCACTGTTGGTGCTACCTCAAATTACTTCTGTGTTTTTCTACTGCATGCTGTGACCTCCAGGTTCAACTGCCCACTGTGTCTGCTGCACAGTCAGCCTGGGAATGGCTGTAGCACACATTGCTAGCCCTCTCTGATAACCCTAAAGCATATGGGCCCTGCATGCCTGTTTCTGGGAAGTGTGGGGGCCTTTGGACTGGGCTATAGCCCAAACCAGCTGTTTGCTTCAGTGCAGCAGTTGTCAACCTCTCTGAACTGAAGGCACCCTCACTGGACTGGAGTAGCACCCAAGTTCAAAAGCTAATTTATAGAATACAGAGCTTTATTCCTGAGGGGGCAGAGGGGGCTGGCAGTGGGGGTGGGGGATTGTCCAGGAAGGGAGAAGCCTGACCCTGCGCTTATCTGCATATTTTATCAGCTTAGTTCCTAACACTTCACTTATCTCCCCGTCCCTCCAGACACCCTAAAAAAATCTGGTAGCACCCTGATTGTGAAACAGTGCTTCAGGGTTATCAGAGAGCCCTAATGCAGCAGGAGGGCATGCATGCCACAGCCCTGCATGCAAGGCAGGTTTACCTGGCTGCTACCACTGCCACAGAGGCAGTTCCTGTATTGCAGCACCCCACTTGAGAACCACTGAGATGGACTGAAGCCAGACAAAAAGATACTGTTCCCCCCCCCCCTTCTTCTATCTCCAGGATGCTCTTCTTTGGTGGAATTTGGACTCAGAATTAGGTTTATTCAAGAAGCTCATGTTGGGAGGTTTGTATGGCCTCAAGTTTTCCAGCAGGGTATAATAACCATCTCATCGACAAATTATTCCTCCTCACTCTCAGATGAGTGCCATTTTTATTCTGCTTCCTGGAATGGGAAGGATGGCATTTCATTAGAGAACTTTACCAGTACCAATTAGCTCTGTAAAACTGATATTTCCTAGCCCTGTTATTAACTCTGTAGCAGGTCAAGTGTGATGAAGATTTACCATTCTCTTTTACACATATCAGTTTGTGAGTAAAAAGCGATCTGACACGATAAATAATGCAGCCTCTGTTTTTGTCTTACTGCCTGCGCAGTTTTATGCTGGAATTGCTATACACTTCCCTGCCTTCCTTGCTTCTCAGTATTGTACAATGTATGAGGCACCAATTATTCTCACCTTTTTCACAACAATTAAAATGTGCAGGTGCAGTAATGTTGTCATCCGGGATCTCACTGATGTGTCTAAGGTTATTTTCACTAAATGTTTGCCATTGGTAAATTAACTTGTCAGGGGAGCTGGGAATGCTGTGTTTGTTGTTACAGTGCTCTTAGGGTTTTCCAAATATTCTACAACTGTGAGACCATGCACTGCATTTTTACATCTAAAGTAAATGTAGGGTACCATAGAAGCCGAGCTTAATTTGGGGCTGTTAGTTTCTCACTCATTTATAGCAGATCTGAAACTGGCAAACTGCATTATCTTGGCATTGCATCAGACTAGAAGAAACTATTACCATCATCTGTTTTTTAACCAAGACACAATTTCCCTCAGCAGTTCAATCTGTATTTTGTGTGGAGCCAAAAATATTTTCTTTAGAAAGGCACCTACCTCTTGCTCTGAAAACACAATTCTGGCCTCACGGAAGTCAAAATGAGGGGTGCACTAATAGAGACTTCTTGGGCCAATACTGATGGCCAATTTTTAATGATACATATCAGCCAACACCGATTTGATTTGGATATGCAGCCCTGTGGCGACCAGCTGGTAAGTCTGTTGTGGGGGAAGGGGTGGGGGGAGGAAAGGAGCGTGTGGAGGGCAGATCGAGGCCCCCACTGTGAGGGAGGCAGTGGGGCCGGTACTGGGGCAGGGGCAGACGCTGGCCAGTCAGGGCGGGGCATGGGATGGAGCTGAAGCTTGTCCAAGGGGTGGGGGGTGGGGGGGGGTCGAGTCCCTGCTACCGCACACCACAGCAGGGCATGGGGGGCATGTGCCCCCCCGGGATCTGTGCACAGGGTGAAGGCAGGCTGCCACTGCAGGCTGGGGCTGCTCTGGGCTCTTCCCAGCAGGGGCTGGGCTGGGTTTCACTCAAGGCAGGCAGCGGTAGCACTGGGAACGGGGCTATGGTGAATTTTGGGGTAGCTGCAGCCCCGCTCCCAACTCCCTCCAGTGCTGCCTCTGCCTACCCCAAGAGCAGCCTGGCCCATCCCCCACTGGGAAGAGCCAAGTGCAGCCCTAGCTCACAACAGCAGTCCACCTTCACCCTGCACACAGATCCAGGGGGGACATGCCCTCCTGGGGTGCATGCAGTGGCAGGAGCTCCCCCCCTAGTCTCCCCGGACAAGCCGCAGCTCTGTCCCATGCCCTGCCCCACCCCAGCTGGGCAGCACCTGCCCCTGCCCTAGCTCCAGCCTCAGCTGCACTCCCTCTGTCACCATGGGGGCCTCAATCTGCTCCCCCCCCACCCAATGCCCCTTCCCTCGCAACAGACTTACCAACCAGACCCAGCTGCTTTTCATGCTGCCAGGCTGTGCGCATGCATGCAACATTTATAGGCCATATTATTGGCCACATCAGACAAAAAGCTGACTGCCAATACTCCTAATTTTTCTCATATTGATGCCGATTCGATGTGGGACTGACGTATTGGTGCACCTCTAATCAAAAATCCACGATAGCCTTAAAATCCTGGATATCAGAAAATTCCTGTTGAATTCAGTATGACTTCAAGTGGTGGAGACTTTTAAGTGATGGAGAATCACCTATGCCCCTTGATAAGTTGTTTCCCATGCTCTCTATAAAAATATGCACCATATTTCTAGTCTTGAATTAATGGCCTGTTGGCTACAAAGAAGCAAGTCATAATAAATTCTAGTTTATTGGACGGGATGTGAAGTTACCAATAAAATCATAAATGCAAACTTTGAGTTATGGGTGGTACTGGTCACCTTAAAACATACACACACATGCACTCACTCATTCCAACCCATGTAATATAGCGTGTAGTGATTGTGAGAGCACTGGTGTGAATATATCTACCGAGTCCCTGGAGTCTGCTGTCGATGGTCAGCTTCTTTCAAGGAGATGTCTTCTCTAGAAGGGGGTTGCCTGCTTGTCCTTCTGTCTTGGTAGGTCAGGTGCTGGATGAGAGGGCACCACTGAGGGTCATGCTTCACTGCCTTTTATCCCTTTCTGGCAGACTTCTGTGATCCCCCAGCATCATCTTGGCTACCCAATCTGGAGGTCGCTGTCGCACGTGGGTTTTGAGTAGTACATGACAGCTGTTAGTCACAGGGGTGTCTGCCTGCTGTTACCTGAAGTTTTGGGAGTCCACCTTTGACTTATTGACTTAATGGCTGTATTGTCATGGGTTGCAAGAATAGTCCATAGGGTAAGTGCCTTGGCTTGACTAGTTAAAAATGGCTATTGTCACTTAATTACATACTGATCACCATACACTCGCATTCACTCAAAGGACCACCCAATATAGCAGATTTTATCACTTTACAATTACAGTTTCAATGTGGTTTTTAACACTGGTCTAGGGTGTAACTTCATTCTACAGGGAGTACATTCCTTAAGGGTTTAAAAGTATAAAATATAAAATACAAAATGCCAAAGTAAAAATGAGACAGATGAAATATAAAAATGCACTGTCAGAAATATATAAAAATGCAATGTGAGATAGTGAGCATCACAGGCTACTGGGGACAGTAAGTGAGTTAGGTTAGCACAGGATGTATCTGCAGTCTTTGCAGTGGATATTTTAGTTCTTTTGTTTTCTTTAGTGACACTGAGCTTAATCGATAGGTAGATGTAGTTTCTAGGTTCTTCCTACAGAAAGCCACTTCAGCTTTCTGGCTTGCTCGGAGCCTTGCCACACCCTGCCAAAACTGAGACGGAAAAGAAATGCACAAAATGGGGGAGGGGGGTTGGA